CATGTTTTGAAATTTATTTTTCATTATCCTGAAACATTTCTGCAAATCAATTCTATGATCTCTGGCAGGGCAACTATAGACATCTCCTGTACACTGTACCACATCAACATCACACCTGAAACAAAGATAACATATGTAATATGCTAAATACTGTAAATTTTACTATATACAAAATAGTCGCAGGTAGATCAAAAACTTTAAATTAACTGTAAAGAACCAGAGGCAGCTCCAGCCACATACTGGCCAGTCTGTATAGCAGGAATGGGGCTACAATGGCTCCAGTGCCACTAGCTGATGAACACACTGACACACCCAGATTTCTGTGAGAAATTAAAACTGACAACAGGAAGTTAGAGCCACATTGGTCTGAAAAGTGAAGCCAATATAGAAGTGTTTTAAACCTGCTCTTTTTGTAATGGGCACCAGAGGGCGATATCGGTGGTTGAAAGGACTGGTAGACTTTTGCCTACAGAGATTTCACACATGATGCAAGTGCACATTGCTTTTGAGATGTCTCCAATAATGTGAATGTGATACAACCACTGGTTGGCGAGTGGTTCCTAGCAGTTGTTCACTGGGTGAAATCAGTTCAGCTCTAAAAGCTCCTATACTCCTATACTCTTTGTCTGTAAACTGTTAGCCGATAAACGTCTAGCTGCACAGTCAGATCCATCCTTCACTTGTCACCTTCAATTTCAAAACCAAAATGGCCATGGTGAAAGTGAGTATCTGAGGGAGCATCAAACCCTTGTTGACCAGCAGATAAAATATGAGCCCAATGGGAAGCTCCACCACAGCACAGAAAAAAATCCAAGAAGACATTGTTACGTGCTTGTAAACCTGGATCAAAGAATTATAGTATGGTACCATTGTGATGTATAAAAACATAAAATCCTTAATTGAAGTTTCAGACTGATTTACCAAGTATACATTAAAATTAGAGTGTTTTTTCTTATATTTGGTGTCCTGAACAAGTCCATAATTGACATAATTGGGTGTACTTCCTTCTTTTACTCCTAATGAATGATCTAAAAACATTTTAATAGACTGTTAAAATATTCCATTTGTAAATTGCATCTCCTATGTTAATAAGATTATACAGTTGTTCAAAAATGTTGTCATACCTCTGGTAGATCATGTGGTAAACATTTCCCATTGCATTTAGCATTGTTTGCAGCAACTTTCATGGCCTCCGTAGTTCTTTGTTGTGAAAACAACCAGTGTGGATCCTTTTAACAAACATAACACAACTTACTATTGGACTCAGCGTGAATATGAAGTGAAGATTAAGCATTGAATGTGTCACATTGAAGGAAAATTATATTCATACCAATGGTTTGAGATAAACAGGATGCAAAGAAGACTCATGGCCAGCTGCAGAGTCTTCCAGGAGGACAGGAAGTAAGCCAGACCAGCCAGGCAGGATAACCATGCCAATAGAGTAGGAAGTTCAAATCACCATGGCCACAAATTTCCTGTTGTTGGACCCAAAGAACTCAATCACTACGTAAAGAAAATAACATGTTTTAGCAGAACATTGAAAGCGGATCAGTCTAACACAACAAAGGAGACAATATGTGACAAAATATGCTAAATTAATCATCAAAGGGTAGATTTGATCTTTCGCAGCCAACAACCTAGTGTAAAAGATGGATAGATAGCTGCTAAGTCTAAGAATAGGGCTCCTTAAACCTCCATTCTATCTAGTGGCCAACAGGGGGTTCTCTAGTTAAAAAATAAAAGTATAAAAATGTAAAAGAAATCATTGTGTAGTTTTCACTTGATTTGATATGTCACTATTCATTTTGATTATGAGATTATAGTTGGAATCGCTAGTTTTAAGCCCTACTTAGTACAAAATCATGATCATTTTATAAATTATTTTCCAATTTAAAGTAAATCAGATGACAATCCAAGGAAAGATTTAGGCATTGCTACCCTGTAAGTTGCTACTTTATATCCTCAGTGATTTGATATCTTGTTTTAAAAGAGTGATGAAATGACTAAAATGCTAAACGAGCAATCAAAAAAGTCCATAAATCAGTCGGTGACATCATCTAGGGTCAATGAGTTAGAGGGGTATGCCTAAATTGATTTGTTGGTGAAAAGAAAAAAATGTGTTGTCAATGGTGCACCTATTGTCATAGGTTTATTATAACCTGACAGCTGGGTAACCTGTCACAAAAGTTCCAATGAAAAATCCACATGCCAGGGAAACTTGATTCATGTCGGCGAGCCAGGATCTAAAAACTAGGTGGGAAGGAATTCCAAGAAACACAAAGATTAACACTGTTTTCCTTTGTGATTTCATGACTATAACAGTAAAATAAACCTAGTAAAAACCAAAGAACACAAACGAATGTGTGTGATGAGAATAGCAAGGGGGGCAATATTTGAAAGTTTAGATCCAGGAAAAGACTTCTTTTCACAACTGAAAATGGATTTCTTTAAAACTCTCATGGTAACATGGCTCACTTGTTTTATTTTTAGCTGCAGGACAGATTAGGTCATGTTCCAGAGTTACACAACATCACATGAATATTACATGTGATGCAATGAGTTTCTTCTCAAGTAGTCAAAACATGAATCAGTCTAATGCAAACGCAACCCATGAGCTCAATTACAACAGCTGTAAAATCAATTTAAAGATATATGGCATCATACTATAACATCATTGGAGAAATAGGAAAAAAATGACCATTTACCTTTAAAACAATAGTAGTGCGGTTAACACCCATTTGCTTTCGCACGCTACCGTCTGGGTTGCATTAGCAATCCGCTGCCAGTCAAGTTCATCATATTTCTTTTGGCTTTCACTCCAGTCCACTGCAAATCTCTCACAACGGCTGAAAGATCCAGACTGTTCTGAGTGGGGAATGGTCACGTCCCGCACCTTGACATCACTCCATCCACATTCCTCCCAGAGGCCCTCAGATCCATGACTCCAGCACCAGTGATCCAGAGTGTGGCCTAAGAAAACAACTCCAACAAGTACAAAAGCGAAAACTATCAAGTGTGGCAATCTTCCTCTGGAATGGCCCAAAGTCTCATATCTGCATGATGAGTTTGTCCACGTTTGCCATCTCTGGTGATTAAGGACTGTCTTAAAATGATGGGTCTCTTAAGCAGTTCTAGTCTGAAGATGTCTAAGAAGAGTCTTGATCAAAGGCCTGCTTTTTTTTATAACTCTTGAGTTTACTGCTCATCATTTCAAGGGTTTTGCGCAGGCTTATGTCATTAAACATGCAGCATTATGAAGCTTGATCCTGTGATTTATGTCTGCAGAGGTGCATTTTCTGCCTTCAGCCTTCATCTTGATTTTTATCGTTAAGATATATTTTTGAACTGCTCTTCTTCTGCTATTGCAAATTTGGCGAGAATTTTTCTTGCATCATTTTCTAATCATTGATTGAAACTCAGATATGAGAAGTAGCAGTTTTAACATCAGATTTTAAAGTTGAAAACAGTTATTGTTTCTGCAAAATGTATGCTTTTTAAGGTAAAATGCCATGTTTAAATGGACTTCATTTATACACCAGGTTTTATCACTTATCAAAGGACAAAAGAGGCTTCAGACCTTAGAATAGAGGCTGTGCTGCATCACCTCATTTTCGCAATGCTGTGTAAGCAATTGCAAACTGTGGAAACCCAACCATAAGCTGTAGTTTGTTATTATTACCTGATGTTGGACTTCAACCACTCAGCAGTTTGCACTTTTTGTTTCATGTGACAATGCATTACATGCAGTCAGTGGGTGACAGATGTGCACTTCGGACATGTTTAGGATGCATACTCTTACTGTGGAGCTGTAATTTAAAAGGGCTGTGTGTCGTTAAACACTTAGATGCCTTGACATATGTGCAAGTTACCCGTAGTGTTAATGCAATCCAAGAGTTCCAAGTGGAAAACTGGGACAGTGCAGTGATATTGTGTCTGTCATACGTTTTCATATTTAATCCATCCATCCATCCATTCGCTTCCGCTTATCCTTTTTCAGGGTCGCGGGGGGCGCTGGAGCCTATCCCAGCTGTCATAGGGCGAGAGGCAGGGGTACACCCTGGACAGGTCACCAGTCTGTCGCAGGGCCAACACACAGGGACAGACAACCATTCACACTCACATTCACACCTAGTGACAATTTGGATTATCCAATTAACCTATCCCCACAAGCTGCATGTCTTTGGACGGTGGGAGGAAGCCGGAGTACCCGGAGGGAACCCACGCAAACATTTAATGTACTTCCTATTTCATCATCTTATCCTTAAACTTTTAATCTGAATCTGGTCTCTTTGGCTGGTTTGCTGCTTGTGCCTCCATTACGTTTTGTAATTGATTGTGAATTCTGCTCTCTACCAGAAGGTCCTGAATGTCCAGTCATCAGTTTATACACTGAAGTTCAAGCTCACTTGATTCACTTAATACAGCAGGATATCTGAATGGCTAAAAAATACCAAAACTAAAATAAAGGCTTGGAGTGACCTTATCAAAATCCAAACTTAAATCTGATTAAGATGCTGTGGCATAACCTCAAAGAGGCCGTACATGCTTGAAAATCCTACAATGTGGCTGAATTAAAACAATTCTTCAAAGAGCAGCAGCCAAGATTCCTCCACAGCGATGTGAGAGACTCATTGCCAGTTCTTGCTAACGCTTGATTGCTGCCAAGGGTGGCACAATCAGTTATTAGGTTTAAGGGCAATTACTTTTTCACATGTAGATTTGGATAACTTTTTTCCCTTAATAAATAAAATAATTTTATTTGGGGTTATCTTTGGGTTATCTTTGTCCAGTACTGACATTTTTTTCATGATCTGAAAGATATACATATGACAAATAAGGAAAAAATGAAGAAATCTAAAAGGTGGAAAATACTTTTTCACAGCACTGTATAAAAAAAAAGTAATGCCTTTAAAGCAGTTCTCACAAAATTATCGTTTCAAAGGTGGCTTAATAATCACATTTATCTTAACTTGATACAAAGAATGAATCAGCTGACATCATCTGTTTCTTTTTTCCTTTAATTAAGTCATGCCGTGCATGAAGGATTTTAATATTCACTGTGCAGATAAAATGTCCTCCACTGAGGGTCGGTCTATTGGACTCTGGCAGCGGTGAGAGAACAACACCCTTCCATGTTCGTCCAAAACAAAGTTGCCTCCCAGCTGGAACAAATGACAGTAACGAGAAATTATTCATAAATCTTAAAAGTCTTTCTTTGTGGTGAAAATTTAGTGAATTTCTCTATCACCTCTTAGAATTCATTAATACATAGATAGATGTGTTGCACAAAATAGTCATATTGAATTCTGATGACCTGAAACATGTCGTCTTGAATCCACGGAAGCTCTCGTGGAAACTCCATGTCGTTCGCTACATATTCAGAGTAGATCAGCATGTTACCGAAGTTTAACACTTTCTGCAGAGATGCTCCCAGACCAAATGCACTATACATCTGCAATACCAAACAATGAGTTAATTTATTTATTCATCAAAGACTGAAATGTGTATTGTCTGATGTTGACCCCTGACCTTTCTACTGGGATTCAGCAGCATGTCGTACTGACAGCCTGTTTGCTCTACCCAGTGTGATGCTCCCTCCTGACAGCCAAACGAAATGACCACCACTTGTACTGAGTGTGCATCCAGAGAACTCTGCAAAGTAACATTAGAGATAAAAGTATATGTAAGTTTTATATACTGTACTGGGGGATTTTAGAGATCAGCTGATTGTAGATAATTATGAGAATATCACACTGCATATACACCATGGTGCAGAAGTCTTGAGCCAACAGTTTACTGAAAAAAAGAAAATAGGAACACAGTGTATGGGGCAAAAACAGCATGTGTACTTTGAACTTAGGGCATTCAAAACTCTTCTTTGGATGTTGCTGCCTTTTGTTCCGTTCTCTGGTATCTTAACAGAGAATGGGGGGGGAAGCCTGATAGCCTTGAGGCTATTGTTGGGATTTTGGTGCTATATAAATAAAACTATTGAATTTGATTAAACTGAATGATCAAACTGCTTCAATAATGAGTCCAGGATGTGGGGAGGCCAGTGTATGCCTAATTATGTTTCATTGTGTCTTTTTCTATCTATCAATGTTTACTTTTACTGCATTAGCAGTGTTTTTGGGATCACTGTCAATCGGACGACTTTCAGATGGTATTATTGTGTGGTCTATCAACATCTGATGATACTTTTCTACATTCATAATACAATTTATTGACAAGAATCCCAACACCACTGATTGAAATGCAGCCCCATATCATGATAGAGTCATGTATTACGGATGACTGTAGATACTCACTACTTCCTCTTTAATGGTTTCCTCTACACACACTAATTACATTTAGACCCAAAACTTTTAAATTTGGGCTCAAGACCTGTTACCACTTTCTCCCTGTTTCCCTCCCTTAAAGACACACTGCACAGCATGTTGAGATATGCAAAGTTTTCACCTTATAACTCTTTGGTAATCATTTTTTTGGTTAAGCATTGTTATTAGGTGTGTGATGTTTACTTGATTCTTCTGCAGATCTTGAACGTGTAGACGGCAGAGCAGACAGGAGAACTGACGGATTAACACCAGCAATATCTTCTTACCTCTCCCAAGATATTTCTGCAGCGTTACTGTTCTGTCAAACACAAAGCCTCAGTAAAATATAAAGGTGCAAAGCAGACAGCACCAATGACGCATAAAAACTGGCAGATATATGAGGTTCATTGTTACGCTTTTTTAATAAGTGTGGAAGCATTAAAGACTTTCATCAAACCCACTCTCCAGTTCTGGCATCGATGAGCGGCGTATCTGGTGAAATGCATTTTGATTGATGATCGACATTGTGTATTTTAGGACTCAGTTGTAGCTCATCATCCAAACGCTGTAGAAAGGCATCCCACTGCACCTGCGGTACATTGGCTGCACTACGTAAAACGAGCGTGGTGAGTATGCTTTTTAAAAATATTTTACATTTTGTATTAAAAGAACTCACTTCGAGCTCTTTAAAGTCCTGAAGAGCTTCTCTCAAAGCAGCACAGCTGGGAACATCATGCAGAATAGTTTTCAGGGGTCATGTCAGTTTATTAAGGCTGTGACTTACTGTACTATGTGAATCAGTGAGTGGATGCACAGCAATTGTGACAGCACAGGCTACAGCTGATTTGGCCTTTGTCATGTAATCTAGATGATAATACCTCGATACATTGTACAAGTTGAATTTTTGTGCTCTTACTTTGTATTTTTGCTCCAGAGATCCTCTGCATCCTTTTTTTGTTTAACAGACAGGCTGTGAAGCAGAAAAAATGGGCCTGAAATATAACACTTCATTACATATTTTAGCTAAAAATATTAAATATAATAAGGTTTAACAGAAGAGGCTGCTTAGTTAAACTGAAGGTGGGACTTTAGACCTGTTGTACAGAGTTGCACCGGCTTCAATCAGACCCAGCAGTGACTGTTTACGCTCTATGCGGATTTTCTGCCTGACGAATTCTTGGCACGAGCCTGTGCGTCACAAAGTGCATGAAGTTAGCAGCTAACCATCTGTTTCAGAGGATTCTTTATGTATAATGATTGATAGGACTTCTGCAACCCCTGCTCATGCTACGTCCATAAATTGTTTGACGACTGGTGTCTATTTTTATGTACACTTGTGTGACCTACCTTCCCTGCTTTCCTTCTCAGCAAGGTCCAGCAGAGCTTTTCCTTTTTCGACAAAAGATGAGAGAGCTTTTGCACAAGAAATTGCAGTTGAATCCGGTTGTTCTGCCATTTTTCTTTTAAACTCTCCAGCCTCTTATCGGGGACCGCAGTAACAACTGCCTCTGCTTTCTCTCAAAGTCCAGTCTGGCCAAGTTTAGAGCCAAAAGATTTTTGACTGAAGCTCAGTTTAAAGGGGAACGTCACTGATTTGTGACACAAGTGTTTGTTTGCAGGTTTTAAATGACTTATAACAAAACATTTAATCAAAACTGAAATAAAAGCCAAAAAAACAGAAAGGTGAAAGAAAGGAAATAAAATTCTAAAATAAAATACATTCTTTGACATCAAGCCCATTTTATCGTTTAGTTATGCTATAACTGTTCACTGATTTGGTACAGTATCACATTAGGATACTAATAATTGTGTTCACGGGTAATTGGACACTTTTTTTAATGAGCAGGTGAGATCCATTGTTCCATTATTCCATGACAAACTAAGCAGCTAAACGATCTGAAATTGAAGTGCTGAACATTTAGTAGACGTCTCAATATCCATAGTGATGTCAATTGAAGTGAAGGAGACAACATTAGCTGAAAACCAAAATAAACATTTCAGGGACAGAGAGAGAAAACGTAGGAGTGCCCAAATCAACAATCTGGTACAGAGAAGGAATGCAGTGACCAGCTCAGCAACACGAAAAGGTGTGAAAGACTATAAATGACAACTAAAAGTGATGATCACAGAATTATTTCCATGGTCACGAGTGTTCATGCCATCTAACCAAGTCATGTACACTCTCAAAGAGGTAGGTGTTTCATTTTAAAAGTCCACATTTAAGAGAAAGATTGTGTAGAGCAAGGTGCAAACCCAAGACCAGGAAGGACAGATTAAACTCGTGAGGAGCCTGAACAGTTCTGAAAAAAATATATATATATTTGGGCAGATGAAACTAATATTACCTTTTCACAAAAAGATGGGAAGAGAAAAGTGTGAAGAAGGACAAAAACAGCTCATGATCCAAAGAATATCACATTATCTGTCAAACATGGTAGAGTCAGTATTATGGTATGGTTTCCAATGGAACTAGCCACCTCTGTTTATTAACGATGTGACTGCTAATAGAAATAGTAGATAAATTATAAAGTGTAAAGGGCTGTCCAGACAGATTTTGCTAAACTAATCAGATACTGTTTCACAGGGCAAATGGATAATGACCCAAGAGAAACCCAAGAGTTTATCATGGCAAAGAAATGGGATGTTCTTCAATGCCCAGGCCAGTCATTTGATGTTGGCCCAATAGACCATGCTTTTTAATTACTGAAGACAAAAATGAAGCCAGAAACAAAATGCATCTGAATGTGTATGAAACAAAGGCCAGAAAAACTGATTATTTTGCTTACGTAATCAGTAATTAGTGAATTTGTAGTTAAATTCATTCAACTTTGGACTCAGTTTTTGTTTTCTTGTGAATTTCTGTTGTGTCTTAGCCCTTAGCTAGCCACCTTAATACTGAAAAAATACAATCTTGTTTGCTTATGTAACAGTTTCCATGCTCACTAGATCCTATCAGGTCCTAGACTGGGTAAAGTGCAGCGATATTGCAACACAAGTAATTAAAGCCAAGACTCTCTACAGAGTGATTCCACAACCAGTTTGTATTTGGATTTGTACTTTTAATATTGGACTTAAAACTTTCCTTTTTGATATACGATTAAAGTTACAGCTACTTTAGATGTGCCTGAACATTCGTTTAGATATGCTGCTATAGGCTGAGGCTGCTGGGAGGGGTCTCGTGGTATCGAACTGAGTCTTACAAAACTGTTACTGGAGAAAAAAATGGGTAGTTGGAAAAGCTCTGGTTTGTTAAACAAGTTCTTAATCTGTGTAGTTATAGGTGGAGATTTGCATACTAAAATAAACTCACTTTTAAATGTCTTTACACTAGGATCAGACACTCAACACAGATGTAGCATTTTTATTTTTATTGCTAAGAATCTCACATGATCATGGTTTCTTTTCACAGTGATTTCAACATTAATCAACTGACTCCATTTCCAAATCTCTCTGTTGTTGGTATCCATCTTCGTGGACTTCCTGGTGTTCGCTCTGCTCTATGTGGTTCTCCTCTGGCTCCTTGGTGGGTTCATGTGATTGACTTGTGCCTGTTTCTGTAGGGGTAATGTGAGAGATTGTGAAAGAACTGGCGACCTCTTTCAGAAGGGCTTGTTCAGCCTTCAGTGTAGCCAGTTCCTCGGTGAGCGGACTTGTGAGCGTTGGTGTCCCGGTAGGGGCAGGTGCTGCAGTATTCTGGATGGGCTGATTCTCATTTGGGTCTTCAGGTGTCTTCTCAGAGCCCCCCTTCTCTGATGGATCAGCAGACTTGTCCTCTGGTTGACTGCCAGCTCCATGCACCTTTGCATATAGACTCTTCCTTTCTTCCTGCAAAGCCCTGCACAGATTCTCAAGCTTCTGGTTTTTGATGGTGAGAAGCTCAAACTCCTTTTCCTTGATTGCTTTCTGTAAAAAATATTTTTAACATATTGTATAAAATTTCCTATGGTAAACTGAATTTTTTCCCTGGTGGGTCATATTTTTTTTTAAATCTATCTATGTATGAGGGTATTAATGAATTAAAACAACAACAAAAAAATCTTACATCTGCCACCATGTCAATAAGATTCTTATTGCAGCCATCAAAGCGAGTCTTCCATGACTGGCACTCTTTCTCCAGCTTTTTCATTTTCTTGGCCATCTGCACAACAACAACAAAAAAAATCATGTTATGCTGCAGACAATCAAAGTATCTTCTAAAAATAGCTGCAACTGAGCAAGTGTAGGATTATAAGGTTTGTCAGTTTTTGAAGTGTTACTGAAAGGCTCATGGGATTCTTTCCTCTCATTTGTATTTTTGTCATCTTTGTCATCATCTTTTTGCAGAAAAACTCAATAATTTAATCTCCTGAAGCAGACTTCAAATATTCTGTAAAACCAAACTTACTTTGTCCATGTCCTGTTTGAAGCTGCTGTAGACACTGGTACTCTTTGTTACCGTGCCCTGGAATTCATCAAACTTCTTGGAGTACATATCAAGCTGAGGAAGAATGGTAACAAAACATTATACTTTTCTCCAGGGAGGTAGAAATATGATCCAATTTTGCCCATGATGCCCTGATACCATACCTGGGCCTTCATATCGATCTCTTGCTCCTTCATGACCTTCACTTGCAGTTTATATTCTGCTGCCTGTTTCAGCAGCTGTGTGATTTTGAAATGGTAAAGAAAAATGAGCATTAGGGGATTATTACAACAAATCTTTTATTAAAATGCACAACGAAAAAACGTACATGGTCTTTTTCCAGCTTATGCTTCTCCTCTGCTTCCTTCAGCAGCATGTTTGCCTGCGCGAGTTTGGTTTCCAGCAGCTTTTCTTTCAGGTCTCTGTGCTTGAAAACCTTTTCCAGGTTCTGGAAGACATTCAGGTGGATTTATGAGTCGTTTTCACAGAGAAAGCTGTTTCATTTCTCGCTCTGGGAGCCTTTGGCTACATAAAACTGAAATAGTGTAACTAATAAATGTAAGACCTGGGAGAAATCTGCAAATAATTCATGGGCACAGATGTGAGAAGGTTTACACAAGTACAGTTTATCCAGTTTTAATAATGCATGTAGACTGGGAGTACAAATTGGCTTTGCTGTTATGTTATGCGAGTGTTCGTGTGTGTTCACAGTGTAGCGGGATCCATACCGCCTCTCGCTGGTCGTATTGTGAAATGAGTCCCTTCAGTTTTTCTGCAAGAGCGCCGTTCTCCTGACACAGTTTGGTGTTGCGGCTGCTGTGTTCCTCAATTTGAGCCTGAATCTCACTGAGCGTGCCCTGGAAATGGGTGGTGATCTCTTTCCTCTTTAGGTCATCCTCTCTGCACCTCTGCAGGGTCTCCTCCTGCGATTCAAGCATGGGTGTTAGCTTTAAAACCTGCACTGCAAGATGGATATAAATGCTCAACCGTTTTGTTTGTCTTGTGCACCACCACTGACTTATATAATTTGCTATTGCTCCAGCTAGCAGCCATGCAGGAAGCTCATGAAGGAACTGTATCACTGTACAAGAGGAAGCATCCATGATGTTAAACTTATAAAACAGAGAATGCAAACCCTTTAAACTGAACTGCAGTGTTGTCTGCACAGTTCTTATGATTGTTATAAAGGTGATAGTTGCTAAAGCATCAAAAAGCTCTGAAACTGAGCAGCTCACACCAAAACATTCTTGACTAAAACGTGCTACACTGCAAGCAAAAACATGCATATTTGATCAGGGATCATCGCTAAAGTTCTGCTGTTTTGAACAACACTTGGCTTCACAACAGGAGTTGTGAGGGTGGCAGTGGAATAGGTCAAACTTTGAGCTTTGACATGGCAGCAGATTTTCAGTGCCAGTGATGTCATATCCTGTAGAGCACAAAATATGCTGGGACCACCTGGCACCATAGCTCAACAGCAAATGGCGATTTCGGCATCTCTGATTAGACACTGTTCAAGCAGTGATGTCTGGAGTTGAGCTACCTTTAAAGTCTTGTTATGTCTTTGCAGCTCTCTGCAGAGCCCCTCCAGTTTGCTGCGAGCCAGCACTGCACGGCTGTGCTCGCCCTGCAGCTGGTCCTTCTCCTTCATCACTTGGAGAAGCTTCTTCTGGAGAACTTTCATCTGCTTCTGATCACTGCGATGCTCCTCCAGCTGCAAAAGCACACACACAGTGCCCCATAATAGTGATTATATCTTTTCTCTAGAAACAAACCATAGCTTTGATGAGAGCTACTATATATTTTCTTTTTTTGCTCTCTTCGCCTTTGTTTTATCCACTCACCAGCTCGGCATGCTTCTTGATGATGGCCTGCAGTTTCTCTTCCGGAGAATCGAGTTTGTTCAGACTTTGCATCAACAGCATAGCTTCCTTCCCTGAGCAGCCATACAGAATTTAACCTTAAAAATCAATCATTGCTATAAAGCCAGTTTTAAACAGACTGATACAGAAATTATTGTTGGATGATTTTCTGGGACTTCAAGAACTCTGCTGGTCCATCTTGTGAAAAATCATCTTGGCAGCTGAATGACACAAACTATAAAAGGCATTTGGAAATACTATTTTA